CAGAACCTCATTCTGCTTCCTTCTGTACAGCCTCTTTGAGTGTAGTGCTCCAAAGCTCTAATTTACTTGGTGTAGGTGGGATCTTAAGCCAGTGTGAAACTCTAGTTATGCTGATTACATTGCTGTGATTCTGCAGACTGCTTGATGTGCTTCATGTCCTCCATAGGCTAAGGGAAAATGAGTGTTTACTAGTAGGCCTGACTCAGCAGGCTATTAAAAACTGGTGGCTTTTCGGGTGAAGCACCTTCTGAGCTCAGCACAGGATCCTATCTGTGTTTGCAGTGTTGGGGACCAATGTCCCTGGTTTGTCAGTCCTGGGAGGGCTGGTGGGCAGCACCTCCAGCTTTCCCAGGAGCAGCTGGATGCGCTGAGCTCTGCAGGAAACCTTGAGGGAGGGAAAACAAAGTTTATTATAAATAGGTGAAATCCCTTATGGTAGTCTTCCTCTCCAGAAATGGACAAACTTTCCACTTTYATGTTTATTCATGCAAAGCATTAACTTATTCTTGGTTCATGTGACTGCAATGAGAGACTTAACTCCTTGGTATCAAAAACAGAACAAAAACTGGATATAGATGCAGAGATTTCTGTTTTAGCTATCAGTAATGAGCTGCTCATGGCAGAATTGTTTTTCACCACTGTTCTTAAATGTTTGTCCCTCTGTTCACTGAGAAGGTCTTTAATATATACCCGGTAAGACTTGAGGGTATTTCAACTTTTGTTTGAATTGTGCTCACATATAGGAGGAACAATTTTTTGTTTTTTTGTTTTTTTTTTTGTTTGTTTGTTTTGTGCTTTACACTTCTCATAGCACTTGTTGCGAGTAGTTGGAACAAATGGAAAGGAGAATTAGTGCTTCTTTATTGTTTGCTTGTCTATGGATATTGGAAGAGTATAGGGAGAAGTGTGACACCCCCCAGTGCTGGACAGGAACTAAGGCAGGGACTGTCCCCTCCTGTTTCAGATAGTGAGAAGTCTTTAACAACATGAGTGGATCTGGGGGCTGAAAAGACTGATTTTTGTATTGCACAGCAAGCAAAAGGTTGGAGCAAGACTGGGGACACAGTAAAGGAAGAGAAATGGCCCTTGCTGCAGCACCCCAAGAAGAAGGGTTTATGGGCTGAAACTACTTCCTCTTCTTGATATATATTTAATTAAAGTGCACTTCAATATTGGGATTTCTATGRTTTCTTTGGTCACTACCTACTGCTGGTTTTGAAGTAGATGAAACCATTGTCCTTTCCCCAGGATACATCCTTATTTTCCCTGGATCAACTCTGCTRAAGTACAGTAATCTACTCTGCAGCAAGTTTGCAGAGAGTATAAATATAATACACATAGGAGGGCATAAAGATAATGTCACAGTTTAAGTAGGAAGGAGGGAATGACACACGTTCATTATGTGCAGAACATGAGCTGTGGCTTAAATAGCTGCCTCGTGTAGGCAGTACCCACACACAGAGAGCTCTGCAAGCTCCTCACACTCATTGCCTTCATGTGTAGCTTGGTTTCCAGTTTGAGACTAGTTTCTTCATTCAAATTAAAGAGAATTTGTTTGGAAAACCATCTCAGTGGGGCTAAGGGAAATAGATTACCAATCTGCTTTACCCCTTTTTTGTCCCTTGTGTCAGTGGCCCAGCTTATCTCCCACTGGTCTGGTGGACCCACTAAGAGTTGTTGCACAGTTGTCAACCTGGCTGCCTAATGCTCTCTCCTTGCTCATCCTTCCTTCAGTAATGCAGCCTTCACTGCTCTCATGTTCTGAGCTTCTTCCCCACCCAGATTGCCTCTAATCTCCAATGTGGTTTTTGTTCTCTTACTGTTTTCCTGCTTTCTCATCTAGGAGAACTATCCTCTGCCTAGTTAGCCTGGTGATCCTCCTGCCACAGGTCCTGGTGGGAGCTCTGCAGCAAGGATTCTTCCATAAAGGACACTCCATGTGGCTGAGCAAGACCCCAAGCCACCAATTGCTGAGTACTGAGCAGGGCCTGTGTTAGGGAAGTGCTGGTTACACCTCCTGTATTCCCATACTCATTCCTGGGTGTCTTCCTGTGGTGATGGGCAGGATAACGAGCCTCTGGTTGGGTTGAGTATTCATATTTTTGTATCACACCAAACTAGCTCTATTTGTGTAAGACTGACCTAAGTTTGTGACCTCATAAAGCAGCTGGCTTGAGAGCTGGAGTTGGTTTATAGTGAGAAGAATTTAGTGATGCATTTCAGTTTCCCTTACAAATGTATCTATTTTTGTATGGGAAACACCATCAAGGCAAGTAAAAATAAATAGCATCTGTGATGTCTTGCTGCTGAGTGTACTGTGGTAGCTGTCTGTCTTCACRGAGTCAGATCGAGTTCATTCAATATTATGAAAGAAAATAATTAACTGATAAATAGGAAGAATTTTAAACTGCAGTTTATTTTTCTCTCTACAAGTAAGGTCATTCTTACTTGAGCTAGAAATAAACAGAGGAAAATCCTTTACAGTGATCTTATGAAAACAGGTATTTAAGGATCATTGATGTAATGCTGTAACAAATCTTTTTAGGGAGACTTAAATCAACAGAAATTAGACACTTGCTGCTGTCTTTTTTTTTTTCTTTCCTAGTAATTCGTTAGTGGGAGTGATCCAAGTTCCAAGTAGTTTGGGATTCTCTCCACTGCTGCAACTGAACTTTGGATTTGTTGCGGTAGTTGATGGCTGYAATCAGGGTATTTTTAGCCTGCATGAATATCACAGGTACAAAAAATGAAAACTTTGTCATCAAAAGCAGAGTGGGGGGAAGTGAGAAGAAAAGCAAATGGTATTTTAATGTGCAAAATCCTGATTCTTCCTTGGATTACTCTAGAAACAGTGGTACCCATTAATATAACTGTGACTGTCCACATGTTTAGAAGCAAAGATGCTRGATCTTCTGATCAAGCAACTTTATTGGGCTTTAGCCTCTAGCAGGTGTGARGTATGTGTGGGTAATGAAGTGTGTAGTCTTAATGAAATATAATTTTCAGTTAAAAGGGGTCTTCTAATGTAATTTATCTGTGATGATTCTTTAGATGATGCAGAGTACTTAGTCTCTARTAAAAGACATACTGAATTTGGTTAAACAGACCTGATATTTTCATCACTTTCATCTTCTGTTTGAACATGGCAGTAGGGCCTTTAGTCTCCTTAATGAGTTTTCTTGAAAAGCGTTTGCCCGGCTTTAAAGTGTCAGTTGTATATGTAAATAGACCATCCTGTAAAATAGTTATCCAATGTTCTGCAACAGGAAGAAAAGGATCCTTCATCACTTTACTAATGGAGCAAACACTGAATGAAATTTCTGTTGTTTTACAGTGCAGCCCCTGAAAATGAAGGCAGAGGATGGAAGAAGTTGTAGTACTGGGGAAACTCTTTAGCTTGATTTTGTGCTATCTTTTCCCCATTTCTTCTTATGGTGGATGGATGCTGGAGAAATTTCTGAAGAAAATATTTTAGGAATGTAAACTTGTTTCCCACTGTGTTTGTTTTAGTAGTGGGGAATGGAGCCAAATCTATTTAACTCAGATGGATTTGACATAAAATAGATGAACTTTCTACCCTTCTCTTTTGTCATCTTCACAAGGGCTTTTATGTGTGCATATTTCTGCACATCTTGGGTAGTTTGCTTAGTCGTTTACAAAATCATCAACTCTATTCTGACCCCAATGTAGAGGGAAAAGTCCAGACTTCATTATCAGTGTTGGCCTTGGTTGAAGTAACTTGTGTTCCAGATGAGCAGATGTGTAGACTGGAGGAAATAGTTCGGCTATAAATTTTTTAAAATATCTATCTGTTAATATTTGCATCTGGAGATACAGATAGAAAATACAGTACTTGACAATAGGTTGTGGCTTTGGAATCCTCCCTGGAGAAACTTGACTCCATAAAACARTGAATAGATTGCAATGAGGCATGCATGTAATATTTTCATTTCTGACAGTTTTAATCCCCTTCTCCTCATGTAGTGGTTTTTGTTTTATATAAAGAAGAAGCTATCTATATAAAGAGGAAACGCTCTGTTTCCTGAGGGCCTGCACTGAAAGCTCACAAACTAAGTGCCTTGAAGTGTCAATAAGGAGAAGCAGGTGTAGAAGCACCATCGTATAAACCTGCATAATCTGGAGATGAACAGGAGTGCCCTTTATTTTTCCTATTTTGTCCCTCTCTCTGAGAGTAGGGAGAGCACAAGACTGGAGATGGTTTCAAGGTTTGATAGAAAGCTGTTAATTTCTGTGAATGTCACTATTTGTGTTTATTGTACAACTGTGCAAGGAAAACTGAATAATAGTATAACCCAGCAGTGAGTGAGGGCTTGGCACCTGAAAGCCAGGCTTTGAGTGGTTTTCAGTGAAGGCTTCCATGTTCTGCCATCTGATGTGTAGTGAGTCATGGAGACCGCTTTCAAAAAGTGTATTTACACTTCAGATGATACTGAAAAGCTGATTTTTGATGCCGTTTATCCCTGGATAACTCAACTAGAGCTGACTGTTAAATTAACATGAATGGCAATGGAACTGGTTGCATGGCTTTCGTTGCAGCAGGAAGGATGAGATATTTGGGATGTCAGTGAAACACCYGAGACCCTCCAAGCAGCAATTGGCAGTGAAAAAAACATTTCGAGAAGCATGGAAGAGAATTTGAGCAAGTAATAGTACTTTGAATGGCATCAGAAGCCATGAAATCATTAGGCTGTACCTGTCAGACATCTGGAAGACATCATTCAAGGGTCTGTAGTAGAGATGTCCAAGTTTACCCCYCAAAATTAATGTATATAAGGTGTCTGGTGCAGCTTTTGCTACTTTGTGATCCAAATTAATCTCTCTGCCCACATCCTGTTAAAAYACTAGCTCATGACAGTGCTTGTTTGGGTGCGGGTATATTGTGCTCCATTGATTAATCTAGAGGTGTCTTCCTGCGCTTCGGAGGTATTTTTCCTATAAGAGGAAGAAACATTATTTCTGTGTGTGTGTTTATTCTTCAGGCAACAAGGGCGGCTCTGACTCAGCACTGCAACAATTTGGGGGACTCTCTGGGCAAGGAGAACGACATCGCGCTCATTATCGATGGCCACACGCTCAAATACGCCCTTTCGTTTGAAGTCAGGCAGAGCTTTCTGCACCTGGCTCTCTCCTGCAAAGCGGTCATTTGCTGCAGGTAAGAAATTCCCGAATTCCCTCTGGTGACAAAATGGGCATGAAGCCTGTGAAACTTTGTCTCGTGTGTTAACTTTCCTTTCATGCTTACAGCACTTACAGGAAATAGGAAAGTAGGGAAAATACAGGGTAATATTGGGGAGGAAGCAAGCTGTAGTGGTGAGCCACTTAGTATAATGGATTTCTCTGCTGTGGAACTGTTACTGAAGAGCTGGAACTGTGCTGTGGCCTCCCTCTGTGAAGAGCTGTTTCTTCTGCAGCCACTTGCAGGTCTGTGAAAGTGTTCACGTGGCCAACAGGGCTTAAGGTTCTTGTTTCTTCCTGGCCTTGTACAGGTCGCTATGTGGTGCACTGGTGTTGCACACCTTCAAGATGAACATTTTATCAGCTGCACTGATTCAATCTCTCCCAATGGTAAAACTTCTGTAGTTCTTGGACACAGTCTGACAAGCACATTGAGAAGCTTCTTGGATAGAAGCTTCTCCCTCCTGCTCCTATAGAGGAGGAAGCAAGTCCTTCATATAACTGTTCTCTAACACAAGCCCTCTGCCTCCATCAGTCCCAACAGTATGATTATTTTTATGAAGTGACAAGAGGTCATGAGAAAACATGATCCCCAACCTCCTGGTTATAGTAGATACTGATGATTAGAAGCTGTAGTAGCTATATCATCATTATTTAAGAAGTAGTTAAATAACTTGTCTCTTCTGGGGCTTCTGTAATTGGTGAAGTTGCATTTTAGTTTGTGTGGCCCTTATTACGTGGCAGAACATGCAAAATCTCCTGTGACCACCTCGATCCCAATATGGTTTTGTGCCGTCTTTAATATCCCAGTTGTTAAGAAATGTGCTGTAAAATTGTATCTGTGTTCAAGAAACTTAAACTAAGCAGACCTAGAGAGGGTGGTGGTTGTAATAGCCCAGAAGACTTCAGCAATGCAGAGCATTAGCCATGTTATATCCACCTTCAGAAACAAACAAACAAACAAACATTTAATGAGTACTAGTACTTAGATTTAAGAATGAAGTAGCTGTGACTGACTGAAGCTTCTACATTTTTTGTTGGTTTATTATTTTTTTTGTTTCTGTTTTGTATATGTAGCAATCTATACAGTTTTAGCAAACTAGTTCCTGTGAGCAGACATTGGTCATCATGTGGATGTTATTTTGTTTTGTAGATAGAGGCAAAATGTAGAGGTTGTGTTTTCTTTCCAGAAGCAGCGTGTTTCAAGGAGCCTGAATTCACRGTCTGGGCCGATGACAAGGCAGTCAATAGCATGCTCAAAGCTGACCATCCCAATTTGAAATACCTTTTCAACCTCATTTGTGATGCTCTCTGGGCTTGGGCRGATCAATTACTGTTAGCAAAGAACGTGGGATTTGCTTCAATTAACAGATCAGCGTAGATGCTGTCTTTGCCAGCTTGCCAGCTATTGCTCACGTCTAGTCCCTGTTTAGTCTTCCGTTGTCTAATTTAGACTCCAAATATAATTTGTRTTCAGCTCCCTCTTTGCTAACTGGTTGCAGGAAATACTCACTTGTCTCTTTGTGAATACATGCAATGGATTCATGCGAGAATGGTGATGTTCCTGCCTTMAGAAAGACTTCCGTGCACATCAACAGAATTACTGACATTTTTAACCTTTTGTTCTGTAAAACTGATGTAGATGTGAGAGCAGCACGAGGTGCTGGGCAGCTCGTGCCTGATGCCAACGTTGTCTTCCTTGTCAGTGCTGTAACCCACAGGCAGAGCCCAGCGAGCTGGGCATGCTCGTGTGCCTGGCTGTGGTTCCTGGCAGGCAAGCCGGMCACTCTCACATCTTGTGTGAGTTGGGCAGAGAGTGCTGCTTGTGCAGATTTCCCTCGTGGTTTTACACAGCATCAGAGAGTGGCRCCTGGCTGTGTGAGCAGCCCACGCAGTCAGTGCTGGACACTGCCATCGAAGGTAAAAGCGGCGCCTCTTCCTTGCATCACGCTGTGTGGTGTTCTCCACTTCATGGTAAGTCACCTTGCGCCTAGAAAGCAGCATCCGCAAGATCCTGGCTTAGGGATTCCTGTCCCTGCTCCACGTTTATCTAGGTAAGTACCGAAACCATTGCTTTCAGACACCGTTGCATGCCCGGCCTTCAAAGGCAGCTTGCTAGCTTAGTGCTCAAAGACTGAGCTACGTCAAAGACATGCCCAGCTGAAGCAAATCATAAAATGCAAAACCTGAATTTATACTATGTTAAGTCACCTGTCTTGCTGAAGATAATGAAAGTTCCTGTTTTGTCAAGAATAATTTAATATTGGGCATCTTTTCCCACTCTTTCATGATCAAGCTAACAGCAGTTTTAATTATTAGTGGATTAGAAACCTGAAAAACAATGTGGAAAAAATGCTGTAAAGTGTAAATCAAAGGGAAAAGATGATGTAATTTTGTAGGTTTAAAAGGAGAAATAAAAATAACTGGGTTTTGAGTCCCCAGGGAAAGAGAGGAATGCTTCTAATAGCCTTTAAGGCTTTGCAGGAGCCTTCCATTTACTCGCCAGGTGCTTGAAACTAAAGAAAGCAAAACATTTTTTTTCTACTCTGGGCTGTTTTTAATAGTACTTTGTGTGTCAAATAAGACAGTGCACTTTAGAACTTCACAGGAAGAAGTTTTAAAATGTAATTGGCACAGCAAGAGGAAATTTCAAATTAAATGGAGTTAGTCTTCAAACAAAAATGTTAATTGGGATGGGGATCTGGGTCTTTAAACCCAGAGGTATGATGTTTAACCACTCTAGGAGGAGTTTTGTTGCCATTCTCAACTTAACATAGCGTAAATTCATGGGGCTTAATGYRTCATAAATTTACTATAAGCTTTTCATCCCCATTGGGGTGTTTCAGATGCATTTGCCATTGGAGGATTGTTTTTTTAATACACTTTAGGTACCCTATATATTCATTTGCTGGGCTTTAAGCATAAACTACAGTTGAACTTGTTTCTCAAGGGTAATCTCTTAAAATTAAACTAGTAAACCTGGCACCATTTCGCTCTGAGGAGGAGGGACAGTGTTTTATGATGGGATTAAGTCTTCACTGTAATGTTGTCTCCTACTGACCACTGGCAGAGTGGAGGAATAGGCTCATCCTAGGAGCCCTGGCGAAGCAAAACCAAACCAAACCATTCTTCAAGAAAAAAATCTGACTTATTACACATTCCCTAAAGACTGATGGATATTATTATTTTTTGCTCGTGCTGGCTGGGGTATCGGTATGAACCTGTCTGGAGCAAACATTTGCTTTTCAGAGGAAGTGAAGTTTTCTTGGAAGGCAGTTGAATTCATAGCTTCACATGAGAGACCTGGGGCTGTTGATTGATTATTTATCTGTAGGTTTAAAATGTTGTCTTAAATCTTTTTTACTGATATTTTGTGTCACTAGCAAAATCCTATGGGTTAGGTAGAGTGGGTTTTTTTTTGTAAGGAAGTGAAATTTGATAATTGCTCTAGTATTCTACATAAAGTTAACTTGTATTACTGGGTGACAAGATTGTTTGTCTTCTTTGAGAATAAAAGTGGCAAAGAAGAATATTACTTGTTTGATACCGCAGTATATTTAATTCCCTATTGAAGGGCCTGCCTTAAATTGAAACACTTCAAAAATACAGTGTTTCACGAACACTCTTGCATGATTGTGCTTGCTTTGAGAAAGGGTTTTTTTTTTTGGTCATTTTTGAATGAACTTTTTGCAGGCAGCAATGACTGGCTTTGTATGTCTTGAATGCCATATGAGCAACACTTCCACCAGGAAGGAGCAGTTAATTGGAATCCCTGGAAGCGACGGTGCTGAGACGTTGTTCGAGCAGTTTGGGCAGCTCTTTGCCACATATGATCTGTGGAATAAACACCATAAACTGAACCTTTGCTTCCAGACCCTGCAGCCGCCTTCAGCTCAGTGCAGGGTGTTGCTGCCCTTCCTGGGAGAGGGTTTGGGAGGTCTGCAGCTGAAGAGCCCCCTGTTTGACTTCAGAGCTGCTCTTCAGAACTTCCGTGTTCTGCAGAGATCCCTAAGGAGGCATCACAGCATGGACAGAAGTTGCAGAAATTCAGCAGCAGTGATTCCTGAAGCCTATCTGCTGTTTTCACAGACATATTTACCCTTTCATGACAGCCCGAATGGCTTCCCCAGCTCTAAAGCAACAACACTAGAGTTGTACCTTAATATGAGAGCCGGGACTGCAGGACCTCTGCCCAGCCTCACCAGATCATCTTGTTGGGCGAACCCTGAATAACTGAGGTGTCATGGTGATAAGATGATGATAAGGAGTGATAAGATGATGATAAGATGATGATGATAAGATGATGATAAGGAGTAGCTGATAGCCCTGAGGGCTGTGCTGCCATCCAGAGGGACCTGGACAGACTGGAGGACTGGGCGGTGAGAAACCTCATCAAGTTCAACAGGGGCAAGTGCAGGGTCCTGCACTTGGGGAGGAATAACCCTGGACMCCAGTACAGATTAGGGGTGGACCTGCTGGAGAGCAGYCCCGCAGAGAGGGACCTGGGTGTCATGGTGGACGACAAGYTGACCRTGAGGCAGCAGTGTGCCCTGGTGGCCAAGAAGGCCAACGGGATCCTGGGGTGCATTAAGAAGAGCGTCTCCAGCAGGTCGAGGGARGTGATCRTCCCCCTCTACWCAGCCCTGGTGAGGCCACATCTGGAGTACTGCGTCCAGTTCTGGGCTCCCCAGTACAAGAGGGATGTGGAGCTGCTGGAGAGAGTCCAGCGCAGGGCTACCAGGATGATCAGGGGCCTGGAACATCTGCCCTATGAGCAAAGGCTGAGGGAGCTGGGYCTGTTCAGCCTGGAGAAGAGGAGGCTGAGGGGGGACCTGATCAGYGTGTATAAATACCTCAAGGGAGGCAGTGAGGAGGAGGGGCCGGCCTCTTCTCAGTGGTGTCCAGCGATAGGACTAGAGGAAACGGCCACAAGCTGAGGCACCAAAAGTTCCACAGGAACTTAAAGAAACACTTTTT